AAACAAACAAACAAACAAACAAACCAAAAATAACAGAAAAAGAAATTTCCAGCATGGCAGGTCTGAGTTAGAGGGGCTGAGATTGCATGTGGGATTCATTAATTCCATCTGCCTTCACCCTCCAGGTATGGAGGAGTTACAGAATATTCCATGTACAGACGAGCCATCAGTTCCCACCCTGGAACGGGGATTTCACTGCTTTGGAGGCAGCTTGCACACCTGGATAATGGCTGGTTTAGGGATGCCCAACTTGAGGACTAAAGCTTTCAGATCTGTGAATAGCATTGGTTTAATCTGAAATTCAGGCTGTTCTGAGAGCAGGTCACTCACTGTTTTGGTTTCCAGGTTAGATATAATTTATCAGAGCCCACAGCTCCCTGAAATTCACAGGAGTTTCTTTGTTTCAGAAACCTACATTGCTTTGGAGAGGCCTTTATGAGAGAGACCCCTTCTGCTGCTGCAGGAGGATCCCAAAGGAAACCAGAGTCAAAGGGAACCAAAGGAACCACTTTTCATAAGCAAACAAATATAAGCCAAGTGACTGTCAATGTGCCTGCACTGAATGTTCCCACCTTCCCAGCTTCCTCTGAGCTCCTTCCAGCATATTTAACTCTAATTGGGAATGAAAAATATTATCTAGCAAGAAGAATGGCATTGACAGTGTAGAACTGAGAGTATCAAAAGCTCCCTGAGCCCCTGCCTGCTGCACTGTGATCACTGGGACAGGTTCCTCAAAAACATGTGGGGAGATAGGGAGCCTTTTTCTGATAACTGATGGAGAACGTGCTACTTCATCATAGCTGTAGAGCAAACAAGCCAGTAGGGTTTGTCAGGACTAATTAAAAGAGGAAAAATTGGTCTCATTTGAAGAGGAAAGAAAGTCTAAACAAGACCTCCATTTTTCAAAACAGAATTTAGAATCATGGATTCACAAAATGGTCTGGATGGGAAGGGACCTTAAGACTCATCTTATTCTATCCCCTGCCATGGGCAGGGACATTTTCCACTATCCTAGGTTGCTCCAAGCCCTTCTAACCTGGCCTTGGACACTTCCTGGAATGGGGCAACCTCAGCTTCTCTGGGCACCCTGTGCCAGGGCCTCACTACCCTCACAGGGAAGAACTCCTTCCCAATATCTCACCTAACCCTGCCCTTGTCCTGTCCCTCCATCCCTTGTCCAAAGTCCCTCTGCAGCTCTCCTGGAGCCCCTTTAGGCACTGGAAAGGTCCAGGGTCTCTTGTCTCCTCCACATTGAACACACCCAGTTTTCTCAGCCATAATTTCGGAATTAGAGGCTCAGCAATTCATTTCCCAGCAGAGCAACATCTCCCTGAGCCATGAGGCAGTGAGAAGAAGGTTTTGTGCCAACACACCAGGGGAACAGCCCGCTGCCAAGCACTCACACTCCACGAGGAGCCATGCGCTGGAGGAGCCCTGTCCCGCATCGAGCGTGTACAGCCCGCTGTCCGAGGGCCCCACGTTCCTGACAGTCAGCTTGTGGGTCAGGCCATCAGGAGTCACAGACATCTGGTGCTTGTCACTGGCCTGGAGGGGGTGGCTCTTGTGCAGCCACATGGGCTCGTGGCAGGGCGTGCACAGCTCACACTGGAACTCGGCGTCCGCGGCCTCGGCACAACGCACGTCCGAGAGCGGCTGCCGGAACCGCACCGGGATGGCTGCAGGGAAAGCAAGAAACAGCTGCTCCTGTGCTCCAAATCAAACTGTTACAGCGAAGGGGGAAAGAACAGGAAGTTGTGGTGCCTCTGAGCATTGGGTTACTGAGAAAAAGGAAAAACGCAGATGTGCTTCGGTGTCCAATTCTGCAGAAAAGCAGAAGAGTAGATTTTTGTCTTTATTATCTTCTGAGACATTAGTACCTCACAGCACTGATGTGCTGCCGGTTTGCAGTCATTGATGTGTTCCTGCAGCAAGATACTCGGATTGAATTTATTGTTATTATCTTGAGCCTAGAGAAGCAAACTGTAATATGGGGTAGGTTAAGGAGTGTGCTCACTGCCACCCACAGCCAGACTGGTACTAAAGCTTAGGCTGCTCCCTTGGACTACAAATGTAGCACCTAAAGCTCTTAATCACCCTCCTGCTCCTTTTCACCTGTGCCCAACAAGAAGCCCTTACTGGGCAGCACAAAAACAGTCCTCTGTGGTGGTCAGGAGTTACTGAGCTTTGCACTTGCTCCTAGACACAATTTTCCAGAAGAAAAAAATAAACTTTTGTCACAGTTGCACATCACATCCATCAAACTGAATTCCTTACCTTGAGCATCCAGTTCAGTTGAGAAGATAGGGACGTCCTCCACCCTGACCTGGTACACCCCTGCATCCTCTGGCTGCACATCATTGACAGTGAAGTAGTACCTCCTGCCAACTCTCCTCAGGCAGTGCTTCCTGTACTCGTCCCCTGTCCCGTAGCGGAGCCGCTCGCCATCCTGGGGAGGGCAGGAGTGTCCTCACAAAGGCTCAAACAGTGCCAGGCATTCAAACACATCGGGACAGCCTGGTGCTGCAATCCCCTTGTTGATATAAATGAGGAACCTCACAGTGCCCAGGGCTCTTTGCAGCACACAGGCACTGTCTGGGCAGTGAATCCTGCACAGAGCAGGGCACCAGGCCCTGAAACTCAGCAAAACAGCAGCTCTTTGCTACCCACATAAGGGTCTGAAGCTTAATTAATACACAGTTCTTGCAGCTACAAAGAAAAAGCACTTTCTTGGCTTAGATTTCAGCAGCTTCATAGCTGGATGAGCAGGAGAGTTCACCATTGGGTTACATTGGCCAAATTGTGGCTCATAGACTTAATGTCATACATTTGATCCAGAAGATTCATAGTTAGTCTTCAGGGCATTCTGATTTCCACTGGATTAAAGCCTCTAACCACAATTTGACTAAAAAGTATCTTTCAGGAAAAACACACCCAGCACTGAGCACCTACGGATCCCATCTGTGGGACTATGGATCTAGAGGAAATGTTTTACATCTTAGAGATCTTCTTTCATAGAGGACATTATAGTGCAACGACACACTTGAGAAAGTGAATAAAATTCATATGAAACTGTAGAATTTCTGCAACCTGAAAGACACTGTTGGCGTGCTGGTCTTAAACTGAAGGATGGTCAGGTTAAATATAAGAAAGTAGCTTTTGCCCCTTGAGTGTGGGGAGACCCTGGCACAGAGTGCCCAGAGCAGCTGTGGCTGCCCCATCCCTGGCAGTGTCCAAGGCCAGGTTGGACAGGGCTTGGAGCAACCTGGGACAGTGGAAGGTGTCCCTGCCCATGGCAGGGGTGGGATGGGATAAGTTTTAAGGTCCTTTCCAACTCAACTGTTCTATGAATTTCCTGAAGACACAAGGATGTCAGTAACTGACTGCATGCTCTGTACTTGGACCTACAAATCCCCAGGGATATTTACCACCAAAGATCACCCCACACCCACACTGCTCCCTAACCAAGCAGGGATCTGCAAAAGACAGACAACTTTAAGGCATTTATTTACTCTCAGCCACGACCTAGGAGATGAAGACTTTTCTGTAGAACGTTTGAGGGGCTGCTCTGAGCTGCTGCTGCCCAACTCATCCCCCTCACCTTGAGCAGGTAAACGTTGCTGTTGCTGTTTTTCAGCTCCATCTCCAGGCTGAACGTAGCATTTCCCTCCTTATTGACTTTGATGTGTTCAAAGTTTTTGAGATTGTGAATTAACTGCAAAGAAATATCGAAGAACCTAGTAAATTATAAAGCTGCCATGACAGAAGTTCTTATGTTGTTGAATTAATGTGAAATCTACTTTAAAGAGCTACCGCTAGCATTATGTAGTAGAAGTATCTGTAAGTCACAGTTCTGGTACAGTGAGTTGCAGTGTAAGTTACCACGGTTTCCTTCTGTATATAAATTATTTTTTATGTGTTGCCTCCTGGTCACTCCCACAGCTCCCATCCAGGCCTCTATATGCCCCTGTATATGAAGGCCAATTTTTATTCTTGGACATACAGTTTTAATTTGGGGTCCAAATTCTTATCAGAGGCAACTGAACACCCCGTAGTCAGTATCTCCTAAAATCTGTGAACTGAGCTTCAAAAAATTCACCAGCATTTTCACCTGCATGAGTAAAGAAGTGGAACTTCTTTAAAATATTGTCATAAATCACTGTCATACAACAAAATTTTCATCTCCAAAGCAATTCAGGAAGATTTAGCCTGTTTACAGAAGCTGCAATTTGTTAAAAATGAGTTGTTTCAGTTTATTTTACCTTGTCTTGTTCAGTCTCTGTGTCCTTCCTCATCTCCTGCAGCTTCCTTAGCATCCCACGGAAGTCCACAATTCCGTATTTCATACAGATTTTCTCATAATCTCTCTTATCTGCATGCAGCAACAGCTGCCACACAGCTTCTTTGTCCAGGGGCTTTGGTTTTGGTGCTGCAACCCTGAGAACCGGGGGGGGAAACATTCAGACATTTTTACGGACAACAAGATGTCCTGCTTTTCTCTCCCTAATTCACTTTCATCTCTCTCCATCATTCCTGTAGTTCACTTGGCCCTGTAGGTGCAGGCAGGAAAGACTGGGATTCTCCCAGAGCAGGTTTTCTGTATCTATACTACAAATTAAATGGTGCAGGGAACAGTTCCCACACTGCTGAATTATCACCAGAGGCTCTGGCGCAGTTTGGCCCAGGCCAGGTAATAGCATAGCACTGTTCAGGATTCTGCACAGAGATCACTGACAGCAGGCAATCCTTAGAGCTTCCCACCTGGGAAGGGAAGGATCCTGCCCTGTGCATCTGGCAGTGCAGCTGGGCTGGGAGCCAGAGCTGATCCCCTGGGCAGCCAGAGCCAGCAGTACATGGAGAGTTGTCCTTTGCACAGGAAGCTGAGCTAAACCCAGGGAAGCAGAGAAACACAGCTGTTTCCCCGTGGTGCAGAGGAAATACCCCTCAAAATGAGGTGGGAACCTTGTGTTTTTCTCAGTCCAGTGGGCAGTGCCAAGCTGCTATGGCCTGTCTCTCCATAGGGAATCTCACCACATAACTTTGGACACAAGAAATGTTGTCCTAAAGGTCTCTGGAGCTGTCCCCTACTGTAGAAATACAGTCTCTTTGTTACTGCCGTCACCTACCACCAAGAAACATCCAGAAGTGGGAGCACAGCCCTCAGTCCAGAGCCTTACCTCTTCCTCAGCAGTTTCTTGGAGTCCAGGAGTGTCTTCTTGAGCTCTGTTACAAGAGTGGTGGAAACAACAAACGGTCACATGCCCAGCATTGTGAAATACATCCTCCCGAAGAAGACAATGCAGAATAACCACTGACAACAGGTCATTCTGCTCAAGAGTTCTTTTCCTCTGGTGTTTTTTTCACACTTTACCAAAAAACTGTGATGAAACTTAGTCAGTTCTCACTGCCATGCTCATCCTTTGAGTGCCAATGAAGTTCATCTCTCCCAAGGGGCTTCTCTCTAGAGACCCACTGTTTTCAGCCATGTTAACAAGTTTGATCCACATGTGTTTAACATCCCCAAATCGCTTTTTCCTTTCCTAATGATTCCACAATCACTAATTAGAACAGCCCAAAACCGTCTAAAATCATCACTTTAGCAAAAGATCAAGCAAACAGAGATGACAGAACATTAGAGGCTCATTAATCCTTCTCTTACTCCAGTCTTTACAAGTTTGGGGTAGCAATAGTGTGGCAGACAGAGTATTATTCACTCTGCCCCCCCCCCCGGTAATATAATACATATATAGATCTTTAACTTACCATCAGCAGCATGAACAGGAACATATTTCGCCTTCCTCTTAAAGCCAACTGATCATTTACAAGAGAAAAAGAAGGAAAACAAGCCATAGGATGAACAAGATTAGATTAACAGCAGTGAACCAATGAGCCATGAAATCATTGTATCTGTTACCAGTGCAAGAAGGAATCCCTTTGTTTGAATTTTCTTGTCAATCCAACATTTGCTCCAGTAATCTCCATCTATAAAGGTGATAGTTCTATTGCCATTGACTCTGTGCTTGCTGGAGACTGCACACAGAGGAGGAGAGCATTTTTGCCCTACCACTTTTATGGTCTAAGCAATGGGAGGAAATATCAACATCTTGTTTTAGGGATGGGGAGCCAAGGTGGAAATGGCAACTGCAGATAGGCACCTTCTAAATTCACTTGAAAGGCACAGAGGTGACATGGACACTTGCAATATCTTCTGCTCGAGTGGATTCCAAGAATATCAGTTATATCTAACCAACAAAGTGCCCATTTCTCTGAACTGACTATAAAGGGAAGCAGGAACGAGGTCCAGAGACAGCCACAGAGGGATGGATCCCTCCCAAAGGACTGATTCATTCAACAACATAAAGAAAGGATGGAGGCAGTTCAGCACTAAATCCAGGGCATTTGATATTGGATCAGTGCAGTGAACACAATTCCACTTTCTTCCCCCTTGCCTTAAAGCTCACAATGTGAGGCACTAAAAGATCTCCAGTCCTCAAGGAGGGGAATACCAAACCTTCACAGCAAGAATACCCAGACAAAGTCCTGGACACCCAACCCAGGGAGCAGCACAGCCACTGCCTGGGACCACAGGGGCCTGTGGAGAGTCCCAGAGCTGCCAGTCCTACCTTGGAGGATCCTGAGGCCAGCACAGCACGAGGCCTCTCCGTAGGCATTGACAGCACAGCAGCGATACAAATCACTGTCATCCAGAACCAGGCTCTTGATCTTCAAAGGGAGAGCACAGAAACTGCTCACAGAAAGGGCTGAGGCTCAGCTCACCTTCAGCTTCTCATAAAGCAGCTACTCAATGGCACCTCAGAGGCTTCTTCTGTTCCCACAAGGGGCTCTAAAGGCTTTGTTCGCTGGCTCTAAAGGCTTTGTTCGCTGGCTCTAAAGGCTTTGTTTGCTTATCTTAGAGTTATCTCAGAGCTGGGGATGTGTAGAATCATGGCAAACCCTGAGTTTGAAGGCACCCATAGGATAATCCAGTCCAGCTCCTGGATAGGACACTCCAGCAATCCCACCCTGTGCATCCCTGGAGCTCTGTCCAAACTCCCCTGGAGCTCCGGGGCCATGCCCATTCCCTGGGGAGTCTGGGCAGTGCCCAGCACCCTCTGGGGGAAGAACCTTTCCCTGATATCCAGCCTGAGCCTGCCCTGACACAGCTCCAGCCCTTCCCTGGGGTCCTGTCACTGTCACAGAGAGCAGAGATTGGAGCTTCCCCTCTGCTTCTCCTCATCCCACTGCAGGTTTTTCCTGTCCATTTCTCTCAGTTCCAGAAGTCCTTTCTGATATATTTGATCTTTACCTGCAGAATGAATTCATTTGTAGCACTATTGAAGGACATTTCATATTTGGCAGGATCATCCATTCCTTTCCGCATACGCGACCATTTCACCTCAGGAGCTGGGACACCTTTGACCACAGCTCTGAAAATGGCATTTTTACCTTTGAAAAGAGACAAGAATTTAGTGATATAAGACAGGCTTGAACATGAGGACTCTCAGGCTTGGCCTCTTATTTTATCAAGAGTGATCCCCAGAGTGAGCAATTTCTGTTATTTTATGCAGAAACATTCTTCAAAAATACCAATAACATCTTCTTTTGCACATCAATAATTCAGGTTTTGTCTGTATTCAATCATAAAAGGCCTTTAAAATCTGGCATTAACCTGCCAGCCACGGCTGCTGACATCTCTGACCATCACTGAAATCAGAAGCCTGACTGCACGTTCAACCCAAGCTTGCTTTTTACCCATAAAATGTCCAAATCCCTTTTCATCACACAGATTCTCTATCAAATCCCACTGTTTCTCCAGTCTTTAAACTGGCACCACCTTGCACTCCAAACCCACCAGGCTCTGCCTGAACAGACAAGGGAGGGAGAAGAGAAGGGGGTTACTCTCCTTCATCCCTGCTCCCCAGGAATCTGTGTACCCTGCAGCCCACCACAGAAATCTCCAACAGCTTTCCCACTACCCAGTAGAAACCTCTTCTCCAAAAGGCTCCAAAACTACAGAAAATACTGGGAAACAAGTCAGAGAAGTGACTTGTGTGGGTGAATGGGAATAGAAATGGAGATGAGTTATCCATGGAAACACCTCAGGGCGGAAATGATCACTCTCTCTTATTTTTTAATATTCTTGGTCTTCAGGCAACCAATATTGTTAAAGATTCTCCCTGGAAAGTCTGGCAATATTTCACACACTTTTCTGCAGTCAGCACCACCAAATTTATTTGATGGAACAAGTTCCTGTCAACAGATCCTTATCAAAAAGCCTTTGCCAGCCTTTGAGATTGAAGTCTGATTCCAATTGGTTATCCCTGTGTTACATTTTAACCACTTTGACTTCACTTCCCATGTTTGCCATCTGTCACAGGAGAATCAGCTCAGCCACTGAACACAGTGGGGTGATGATGATAGAATTAAAGGCCCATGGTGCTTCTGCACAGACACAGAATTGCAGAGACCAACCTGAATGCACAAAAAGTTTGTATGGGAACTGCAAAGGACCTGCTGAAAATGAATTAACTTGGAAATTTTACACAGGTGAAAATTTAGACAGGTGAAAACCTAGCCAGTGGCCTTGGAAACTGCCTGAAACGTGCAGGTGGAGGAAGAGGAACAGGTTCCACTGTGCTCCTTCTTAAAACCTGTGGGTCCTGGAAATCCAGGTGAGTGTGGAACACTGAAATCCAAGCTGCTGGTTCAGCCCTTGCAGGGAAGAGGAGCTACATGATGTTCTCAGGCTACTCCACACCAACAAAAAGGAAAAAACAAAAGGACTCTGCAGGTTCAGAGAGACCTCTGGGAGGCTCTTCACTGATTACAGTTCCTGGCTCATCAGCTGCCTGCTCTATGCAAGATCCTTATGTTGTTCCTTACAGAATTATCACAGAGCCATGGAATGGGTAGGAGGGATCTCAAAGCCCATCTCATTCCACCCCTGCCCTGGGCAGGGATACCTTCCACCAGCCCAGGCTGCTCCAAGCTCCATCCAACCTGGCCTTGGACACTTCCAGGGGCAGCCTCAGCTTCTCTGGGCACCCTGTGCCAGGGCCTCACCACCCTCACAGGGAAGAATTCCTTCCCAATATCCCATCGAACTCTGCTCTCTGGCAGTGGGAAGCCATTCCCCTTGTCCTGGCACTCCAGGCCCTTGTCCATCTATCCTTTTAGACACAGGAAGGCTGCTATAGCCTAAATAGCACCTGCAGCCAGTGTATCCTACTTTAAAAAGCAGCTAATAAAAGTGCTGAACACAAGCTCTTTCAACAGGAAAATAAAAAGAAAACAACAGCTTTTTCCATGTGCTTAATCTTTTGCTGCAAAATCCATACTGTGAGAGCTTCCTGCAGAATTCACCAGATTTTCTGCACACATAAAAGCCAGATGTTGGTCTTGCATACACATAGTGACAACTCAGGAGACCTTTGTGAGTACTGATGGAATTGTCATCAGTGTAACAAAGACTTTGGCCATACAACACTTTTTTTGTGGTCACGTCAAATCACTTTAGAAACTCGCTTGATTTAATCTTGATAATTTTTTCATGTAGGTGGGACATGGAGTCAAATCTCCAGATCTGTGGCTTTGCCTGTTTATCAAGAGTCTCACCTTCCTGCAGTGTCAGGGTGAGTGGTTTCTTCTCAAAATCAGGTGTACTGCATCCCTGTGGAACATCATTCACGAACTGAGTGATAACAACTCCTGGGATAGCAGATTTCTTGAAGATTTTTACTAGAAAGGCAAGAAAAGGTACATTCAATTAATGTATTTGTCCTTCAGAAAGAATCTCTCAGTCTGTATTTCCTCCTGCAGAGCAGTAACTGCTCCTGCTCAGCTCCTCCTGGACCACAAAGGTCCCACCCATTCCAGTGCCACAGGCTACAAATGTGTCCCAAGGCTTGGGCATTAAGGTCTGGGATTTTGTGGTGGCTTTGCCAAAGCTGTGTCCAAGTGGAAAATTCTGCAATCAAAGTCCTAATCCAGGACCACCTGGGCTCATAGTTCCAGCGATGGTTTGGACAGGGAAAGCTTTGCATCAGCTCTTGTTCCAAATACAAAATCTGGGATGAGAAAGGCCCCACTGCAAAGTCAGAGCTAGAGAAGCAAGCTGGGATTATTCCCAGGGGTTCCCCAGAGCTGTGTCTGTTCTCTCACCTGTCTGTTGGCTGCTCATGATGCTTTGCTCAGCTTTCTGGGGTCAGCACAAACAGATACAAGTACTCCTTTGAAAAAGACAAATAATTTCATTATTTACAGTTCGCAAGGGAAAGGACAGACCTTAACACTGCTCCCTTTAGTGACACAGTTTGCCCTTCTTCACTTGCCACATCCTTGCAGCCAAGTAGAGACAGACCTGCCAATCAGCCTGTCATGCCCAACCTGGCTATGAGGATGATTAGCAGGGCTGAGTGGAAAATGTACACATCCAGAGGCATCCCTCTGTCACCTGGCTTTCCTCTAAAGACCTCCTCTCGTGTTTCAGGCAAGCATTCACCACATGGCACTCACGTGGTGGGTTCTGATGGATGGCAAGAGCAGTTGCTGAGAAGAAAACCACAGAGATGGATGTCTAAACTGGGGCATGGAGCAGAGGTACATCCTGATCTCATTTAGCTTGGTTAAATTAGCAACAGACCTGAGAGCAGACAAGAAGTCTTTAGAAGGGAATGGTGAAGTATGAGCTTGGCATTAAGGAGTTATTGTTATGGATCACTCAGGGGACCTTCTGCCAAAGGAGGCTCCTTCCCTGTATTTTAAATTGGACAATGTGTAATGTAACATATCCCTGCCTTGCAGCAAGCTGGGAAAGCAGATTCTCTGTCATGTGAGAGATGTTCAGGAACTATAGAGTTACTGCAGCTCTGAAAGAGCAATTAGATTGGATTGCCTGTGGCATTAGTGCTGCATCTCTGTTTACCCTCTGCACTCCTTCAGTCAACAGAGAAACACAGGAACAAGCAACTTCCATCAGTTTTGAAAGGCACAGGGACTTTGGGAGCACACCTACACCAAGCATTCATCCAGCTGAGCTCTGGCACCTGATGAAAACTCAGGGGATGACCCCAACATCTCCTTGTCACACATTCAACTCCGAGCTGCATTGTCTGGGTGAGAGTTAGTTTCAGCTAAAGGTAAGACAACTTAGTGAGCAAAAATAATTTGTGCTGGATATCCCATAGCCAGGCCAAAGAGAGTGTCACTCACAGTACCTCTGGGTCAGCTTCTGAACCAAAATGTGTTTTGCCATTACTCAGCAGCTGGAAAGAGCCACAGACACCTCCCTAAAAAAAAACCAAACAATGCCTCCAATTTGTTCTTACCACAATTCTCGCTTTGGGGCTCTGCATGCTCTACAAATCTCAGCAATAATTGACATTTCTGTGAGTCTCCTGGGCTCAGTGGAAATGCACTGAGACAACAGCACTGAGAAATGGCAGAGGGCTGTGTGAGCACCAGCCAAGCCCTCTCTCCTGTGCCCTCCTGGCCTGATCTGGGTGGCCTCTGCTGCTCCCACCACAAGGGGTTTGTATTTCATCTATGTGCTGCTAGTCTGGCACATCACAGTTCCTCCTATAAACCCTTGGGGGATGTCTTAAAACTTGGGCATGAAGGGAATGAGGAGCTTGTGGGAAGGAAAAGACACAAAACTGAACTGAAAAGAAGCTTATTCCAGGACACTCTGTCCTGCCCCAGGCAGGGAATTGCACAGTAAATGGTTGAGATTTTGAGAGGCTCTTGATCACCCTCTTATGGATTTAATTTGTCCTCCACAGACTGAGCCATATTAACAACAAACATAATCCCCTATTGCCTCTTGTATCTTCCTAAACATGTCACCACTCCTGGAGCTGGTATGCCTGATGCTTACAACACTCACCAAACAGGATGACCTGACACCAGCTCACAGCAGCTTTCCCCTAAGCTCTGTTTATGTTACACTTGCATTTATTCTTTGCTGCTCCTGACTCCCCTTCCTCCACGCTGGGCAGTGGTGAGGAGCAGGTACCCTGGAACAGCAACGTGGTCCAAACTCAGCTCCAAAGCCTTTCCTTACATCTCCAGATGTTTCAGGTCAGAATGTTTCATTCTCAGCCTGGTTTGACAGTGGATATGTGTTACCATAACCAGAAACTGCTGAGAGAGGGCTAAATTCAAATCCAGTTTAGTAAAACCCCCAAATACTGACAATATTTGCACAGGCAGTAACAGGCCCCATCTCTCAGTGCACAACATGCACTGTGTATAAATTGCTGAGTTTAGAGAGTCTTAAAGATTTCAGACATTCACTTGGATTAAAAATAAGCTCCTGTGAGTCCTTAAACTCCTGTGAATTCCTGACTTCTGCAGAATGAGAAGGAAGCATGTTAATGCCACACGTTGATTGCAGGGTTAAAATAACAGTGCTGGATATGAAGGGAACATTCCTTCAGTGTAATGAATCCAATCACGTTGCATTTTCCAGTGTCTTGTATATTAAATAAGGACCAGAAAATAACACCCTGGTTGGCACAGTCATTAAACCCTACCCCTGCTTACTTTTAAAATTTTTACTCCCTTGTTACATGAATGACCATGGTTTTGTTCTGACTCCAGTTCAATCTAGGAAAAGAAATCACAGAATTGTTAAAATGAGACAGCAAAAGCCTTCCAAAAATTGTCATAGTGTAATTCATGTCTTCACTCACAGGTGTTTGAAACATTGTGTCCACTGAGGATGATTTATTCAATGGAATAAATGCTTCCAAGAGAGAGTCCCCCCTCCCCAGGTGAATGCTGCTAAACCCCCAGCACAACAGGGTGACACTGGAAGCAGCTGAACACTCTCACTCCTCTGTAAAACACATCCCTGTGATGCATTAGCCTTGTTCAGCTATCCAGTTGGCCATTCCTCATTCCAGGCAGAAGTCTGCTTTGCAGCTGAAGGGACATCCCCACTGGAGACAGAGGGAAAGCTTCCATGGCTTTGAGCGTAGAGCTGGAGCAAGCCCTTGGCTACTGACAACATTTTTAATGTCCCAAAATAAAGCATCAAGCCTGGCAGGGTGGGATGGTGCCCTTCATCCTGTGTGTTCATCAATCTGTCTGGATGAGACAGAGCAAGAGACCATTCCCTGTGAGCCTGACTGGACACCAGTCCTGGGGCCATAAATCAGCTGAGTGAAGAAGCAAAACACTTGAGAGTCAGAGGATCTGTAGGTGTTGGGGGTGTCACAGGGAGTTATTTATGGGCTTCAGACAGTGCAATACACAGACAAGATGTGACCTAATTGCTGGCAGACTGGTGAGCAAAATTAGCCAAACATGTAGGGAAGTGACACTCAATGAGTGGTTCGTGGGGAGGGGATGGGTGCAGAGGCTCAGGATGTGCCACAGGCATTGCACAAGCACAGACACAGTGGGGACAAAGCCATTAGCATGGACTTAAACAAGTTATAATAAAGTAAACAGCAACAGAGACAGAATTCTCTTTCATAGGAGCATCACGGAATATTGTGAGCAGGAAGGGACCCACAGGGATCATCCATGCCCTGCACAGACACCCCAAAAATCCCACCCTGGGCATCCCTGCAGCTCTGTCCAAACTCTCCTGGAGCTCTGGCAGCCTCAGGGCTGTGCCCATTCCCCGGGGAGCCTGGACAGTGCCTAGCACCCTCTGGGAGAAAAGCCTTTCCCCAGCAGCCAACCCAACCTTCTCCTGACAAAACTTTTCTTCTTGTGATTCTTTTTGAATTTCTTTTTGTAAATCATGAAAATCAGGGCAGTCCTGGCACAGAAAATGTTCTAAACAAAATACCTAATTGTTGTGAGCTCAGTCAAATTTTAGCTGTGCTTTACCCCAGAGATCCAGATACTCAGTGGAGTATCTGAAAAAGAAATTTCACCTAAAATTTCTCTTTTAGCTTTGGGTTGGCTTTCTGTGGCTTTTTTGTTAACTTGAAATAATCTTTGGAGCTTGAGACTTCCCATTTCAGATGAATTTTAAAGGAAAATTTCAAATGCTCTGGTTAGAACCACAGAACTGAAGGCCAATGAACTGCAGAAGGGAAACTTCATGAAAACTTCTGAGCAGGTCACAGAGGGGGAACGTCACAAGCTCTCCAGTGATGAATGGAGGTCTTGTGCAGAGTGGGGAGGAATGCCCAAGGATCAGATTTTGTGTGACTTATCCCTTCGGTAAATCTATACCTGACTTGATCTTCTCTCTGCCCTAGGGATTATGAATACAAGCTAAGTGCTTGCTCAGGATCCATAGATACACAAACCAGATACCCCATACCCATTTATGTATGAAAGTGGTACTGACACCAAAGGCCAAGAGGAGACACACCATCCCTATTTTCTAAGGGAGCAAAAGCCATTAAGCCCCACCACTGAGCAGTGTTGGAGTTTGTAAATCAGAGGCGTCTCTGAATTCTTTAGAGAGAATCAGAGTGCAGGGATTGAATCAAAACCTTTGGATGGATTGAAGTATATTAAGCCACTCATACATGAAGTAGAGGTGTAAGTTTAAGTTTTAGATAAGTTTAAGTAAGTAAGAATATGTTTTAAATGCTTTAAAGAACAAAGGTCTTAGACGCCAGTGTAGAAGAACAAGTTCTAGTGAAGGCTGAGAAATACAGTCCTAGATACCAGTGTTGAAAAAAATTTCCACGGAGGCTCCAGGAACATGGTTTTAGACATAATAGAACTATAGTAAAAATATTGCTTACATTTTTTAGATGGAACAAGATAAACCACAAGCGTAGTTTATACGTAACCTGGCATGCCAAGAAACTAGAATTCTAATAGGCTACGAAGAAATGGTTGGGGTTCATGTTTTTAGCTCATTGGGTAATTTGTGTATAAGAATCTATGCACTGGGGAGAGATTCACTCCTGGTCTCTTACTCTCTTTCTTCTCACCTCACTGCCATCATCCTCACCCAGAAGAAGAGAGGAGCTGCAGCAGCAACATCGACCCTGCCAGAACCCAGGCAGGAGCAGCTTCTGCTTCTGATGGGAACTTCACTGCTATTTGGGACTCTATGCCAAAAGCTTTTAGCATTGTGACTGTGGACACACACATTTAGAGAACTAGGGAATTACAACTTGGAAATTCTTTTCAGGCCTGGATTTCTCCTAACTCTCAAATCCATTCCCAAGCTGACAAGCTGACTACAGCTTCAGTAAAAAAAAAAATCTCTCAAAGTAATAACATAGTGAAAAATATAGTAGAATTCATAATAAAAATTAACACCTGGTGTCTTTCCCGTGGGATACATCCTGAAGTGCTGTCCCAAAGATGTTTTTCCCAATCGTCCAATGAACTACTGTCCTGTCCTAGCTGCACGTAACACACTTTAAATCCGGGCTGTCTGTACAATAAAGTTGGCCTTTTTCCCCCAAAGAAGTCCGTGTGTGTTGCTGTCCTTTCTCTCTCTTTGCAGCGGAGTAATCACATGTGACTCTTTGCCTTTCGAGACTGATGTGCCTTTACAATAAACAACTTTATAGCAACTAATAACTGCTCAGCTCTTTTAAAGAAAACAAACAACCCTACAGAGCAGGACAGTGAATCCATGTCCCTTGGGACCAGCAGAGATGGGATGGCAACATGAGAACCAGTCAGTCTGTGCCTTTCCTGGCCACAATACTCCCATAGATTTTTCATAACAGAAACAGGCTTTGATACAATAGATTTACAGCAAGTATCACAGAGCAAACACAAATGTCTCACTGCCACGAAGGAAAGATAACGTATCCATACTCACTGTCCAGGATGAAAACCCTCAGAAACCCCAGTGTACCTGTGCCACAAGTCTCCTGTCAGCTCCAAGGGACAATGACAGCAGATGTTCAACAGCCTGGCATCTTCCCAGGGAAATCCAAGGAAATCAGTGTACCCTACAGGAGCCAAACACTACAGGAGCCCACTGCTCCCAGAACAGTTACAACCATTTCCATTTACTGCAACGCAAAGCCACCTTCACTGTGACAACAAACTGCCAGCTCTGCATCACCCCACACAAATCAGTGGTGACATGGCCAAACTCACCACTCTCTACAGGCTGAGCTCCTGAGATGATCCTCTGGAAGTCACTTGTGCGACTCCAGGCCCACAGTGCCTTTGTTCACTCAGAGCACAGAGCTCTTCATAGCTGTCCAGCAGGGCCCCTGGTCCCAGATATCAGTGACCTGTGGGAAGGAAGATAAGCCCCTTATAAGCCCTGGTGTAAATGTCACTAAATGGCAAAAGAAACAGCCAACTGTTGTACCCCTCACACCTCTCCACTCTGGCAGAAGGTGAAGCTGTGCCCAGGAGCTGCTGGGTGTGTCCACACTGAGCTGAAGCAGCCCTGGGGGCTCATTATAGCCCCACAGTCCCCCAGCCCAGGGGAGGTGCCCTGGAGCCCTTGGCAAGGGCCAGGGCCAGCCTGGCCAGATGCGACCATCAGTCAAGGCCACGCTGCATCTCCAATGCAAGACCTTGTGCCTCAAAGAAGGACAAACACTTGTGCAGATCCAAGGAGAGGACAGGCTCTACACCAGGTTGTGTAGAACACACCAGCAGATGGGTGTGTCCTACTCAGAATCTTAGGAAATCTCACAATTCCTTAGCAGAGAACTAAAACCAGTGAATTATTACATCTCTGTGTGGTCAACCATGCCTGGGCTTGGCCCTCAGCAGAAGAGTCCCTCAGTCTGTTCTATTCCAAGAGGCCTGAAAGAAATCCAGTTTCTCTAGAAGAGCTTCACTGCTACAGCCAGAAGACACACCTCAATTTGCTCCTTTCCTTCCAACACACACACAGGCTGATCCCTTTCCCATGGGCAGCAAACAAGGCCACTTATTCCACCACTGGAAGGTTCCCTGCCCATGGCAGGGAGTTGGAATTAGATGGTCTTAAAGTTCTCTTCCAACACAAAGCACTCTGAGGTCTCTGATTTCCATGGACAGGTTTACCCCAGAAGTACAACTTCAGTGCATTGTGTCCCCAAATCTTTTGCTTGTGGTCTGCCCTTGTAGACCTTGTAAACCTTCCTTCTTCTGCTCAGAAAGCTCCCCTAAAGCAGAGGCACCTTTGCTTAGTTCCTGATTTCAGAGAGATGGCCAGTCTGGGACTGCAGCTTGACCTGCAGGCAACAAAACCTGACTAGCCTGAAGGCTGCTTTCACTCACTTCAGCCTGAGAGCCGACAGCCATTGCTTTCCTTGGCATTGGGTGAATAAATTCATATTAAATCGCATGTTCCATTGGAGAGGAATGGCTGGCTCCAGAAGGTGGCAAGAGAAGTGTTTTTACTGTGATGGCCATGGTTCACAGGCTGTTTGGGCTGGCAGAACCAGAAGGAGGTTTTCCTCTGGTTCCTATGAGAAGATAATAATTTCAAAATCTGAGGCTAATGGGAAGAGAACACACAGAAAACCCTTGATGCCACAGCTTAAACTCCTGTTTAATTGCATCAAGACAGAGAAACCACAGAGCACCATTTCCACTAGTCTGAGGAAGAAGATTACCATCCAGGTATCAAAAACTTCTCCCTTGCAGGGCTGGAAACCACCGTTTCAACCAACAATTTAAAAGATAAATATGAAAATTAAATTCTGGAGTAATTTTCTTCATTCCTTCTTTCTTTTCAACCATTGTTGCTGGTGACAGTGATTAAACCTTCCCAGTTCATGATAACAGCATGACAACAGAGGAAAATGGAATTGCTCAAACTGATACCTGAGCAAAGAGCCTTCAGTTCTATTCCCCTGTTACCTTTGCAGTGATATAAAAGCAGAAAGTAGAAGTAATTACAAAGTCAAATATAAACCATTTGAAACTTGACAAGCCAAGAAAAGAAGATGACAAGGATCTGGGAAATCCAGACTGCTGCTGGAAAATCCTCTCAGTAGCAGCCACTGTTTTCTAGCAATGTGGGACTCCAACAGCATTTTCACCTGCTTTGGACAATGATCATCCCAAAGATGCTCCCTCAGACATCAGTCCTGCTGCTCCAGGACAGCAGTTTGTGGCTTTGCTGACTGGTACAGCACCTTTAATAAACCCCATTGCCAGACAAGTCTGTAAAGAGAGTAAGACTGGGTAAGCACTAGGAATGCTCCCACAGGAAGCATTTACCTGCCTCTACTGAAACCTGAATTCAGCTTTCCTCAGCTGCAGCAGGAACAGAGTAATCCCAGAGGACCTGAGTTACCCACAGCCACAGGGATTTCTGCTGCTCCTCTTCCCATGTACTCTCCCTTTCCAGGCATTTGCTCCCCACAGAAAAGTGCTAATGGTCTTTAGTCTCCAATCACATTTAGCGCGGTTGGGTCTCAATAACTGAGGAATTCCTAATCAGAAAGATAGTGGGATCTAACAAGTCCCAGGAGAGCCACAACTGCTGCTTTTCCACTGATCCCACAAACCTGATCGTGCTTTGCCTCATTTCAAGCCCTGGTTTTACAGTTTTCTTGGGGCCTCTCCTCCAGAGGGACTGATAATTCAAAACCATCTGCAACAGAGCAACCGCCTCCAAGAGCTTGACCTTCTTCCATTTCACAGCTTGTTTTCCACCCACCCACCCAAGGCCCTGTTAACCCCTGTGTGCCAGGGCTGAGCTGCCCCTGGGAAGCTGCAGAATGTCCCAGTGAGGCTGAGATGCTCAGTGGGCACTGCTCTCCCTGTAGGGCAGACACGTTTTTCCCTGGAAGAAAGTCAATTCGCCTAAGGAAGGGTAGTGAAGAAATGCCAAGAGGGAACAGCTGAAGGACAATTATTTCAGATTGAATTTAAAAACTCTTGTTTTAACTGGAAACAAGACTCTTCCAACATTCTGTTTTCTCTGTAATTCCCTTCTTGGAATATTGGTGTCAAGTCTTCCTGCTTCCAGCCAGTGACAGCTGGCACATCTTCCTACAAGCTTTGGCACCCACATGGCTCAGAAAGGCCAAGAACTCAAGAAAGCAAGACCTGGTAGGTCCAAAACCCTGTCTAGATTTTCAGTACATAAAGAAATGACCGAGATCAAGAACCAGGCCAAGACACCCCATTTCCCTGCAGCCTGGTGGACAGTCCTGACTGTGCTAAGGGTGGAGGTGGTGGCAGGGAGGCTTCTTTGGGGCAGAAATATTCACATATGAAATGGGTTAAGATGTGCAAAGCTCAGTGGTCGTGTTCCAAGTCCATCTTGACATAACAGCAATGAGAATCCCATAAATACTATACAAGAAAATGGGCATGGAATATGGTATAAAGGCCCAAATTCAGTGAAAATTAGAGGTGCCTGCAGAGTCCTCCAACCACCCAACACACTACAACCAAATCAGGTGAGTCTGGTCATGCTGGTCAGGTGTAAGTACATGGACATCATTCAGCTCAGGCCAGGGGCCAGCTAGGTGACAGAAGAGCATTTTGGTTTCCCCAGGAGAATGCCCTGCACCAGGATGGGGAACAGTCACACCATCCGAGTGCCCCAATGACCCTTCCATACCCACAACATTTGGATTTAAGTAAATGTGATGTTCCAATTACTGAGTACTTGCTGCTCTTTTCAGTGGGAGATGCTCATTCCCATTCCAATCACTCAACACCAGTTCATCCACGTCGCACAGTCCAGAAGAAATTGAAGGGACTCGTTTCAGGCTCACATCTGTGGTTATTTTCCCTTCTCACCTGAGGTGCCAATGCGTCCCTCTGTCACCTGCAAGCTGAGGGCTGCTGTCACTGTGCACACAGAGCCAGGGTCTGACCCACTGCAGTTCACTGGACTTTCAGAGCACAAAGGATTAGAACCAAGGGAATGAATGCAAGAGGCACCAGTGCTCTGCTTTCACAGTGCAAATCAGCTTCCTCATTCCCACACTACAGAGAATTCCTTCTGTTCTCTTGCTCAGTTCTCTTCTCACTCGTTTAGTGTTTGCATCCATGGCTGACTAAAGGGGTTTGCTAGCACAGTCTAAGATTTAGTTGGAACTTGGCTGCCTATAAACCCAACATTGCCCCTTTTCCTGGTAATAGTGCTCCCATGACTATCTTCCTTGCATGTTCCAATCTCGAGGCTGGGATTTCCTTCCCATTTTCCATCCATAAAACAAAATAGTGGGCAACGAACATTTAATAAAGACTAAAACCAAAGATGTGATTAAACATCAACCTATTACCAGACATATCCCTCCACCAGGATTTTCCACCCCCCTTGAGACACTAAAGAGAAAAAGAGTTTAAGCCCCTCTGGGCTTTAATGAATGCAGAGAACAAGGGGTGCTTACACCTCTTCCATTTGACCCAACATGGTCATTGAGCTTTGCTAAATGTCCCTCTCCAGCTAAAATTGTGTGTTGGGAGCACTTCACAGACACCACTCCTCAGGCATGCAGAGGGTTAATAAAGCTCACTGCATGCAGCATCTTAAACAATAAAATGCAACCAGAGATTGAAGGCTTTATCTCAATCCCCCTCTCTGCCTCAAACAGAGGCACAGCAAACCCCCCCAGTTCTGAGTTCTTTATGTTGGCACAGGATTTATTGTGCCCCAACCTGCCAGTGGCAAGAGATGAAACAAGTCCCATCCTGGCCTGACCAGCTGCTTTAGTGTTTCATTCCCTGATGTGCTGGGAAGTTTGACACTGAAATAAATGGTAAGAAATTCTCTCTGGAACCTCAAGAGGCCACACCATGTGCCACCTTCCATGTCTGTGTGGTACCCCAGAATTAATCTCAACACTGTCCTGGTAGTGCCGGACCTGTGCTGGCACCAGTGAATGTCTGACACTGACAGAGGTGACAGGGGACTCCCATTTCTGGGAATGCTGCCCCATTCCTTCTGAAGTTTGTTCACTGTCACACTCTATCCAGCACTACAGTATCAGAATAAAATAGGTGTCGTCTTGAGCCAGAAAATTATGCCAGTATCTGATGGAGAAATAATCAAAACCATAGAATTATAAAATTATAGAATGTTTTGGCTGGAAGGAACCTTAAATCTCAGCTTGTTCCACTCCCCACCAAGGCAGCGAACATCAGGTTGCTTAGAACCCCCTCCAGAAAACAGAAATATAGAAAAAAAACCGGAAATACAGAAAAACATAGAGAAAACCAGAGAAAGAGAGGCTTTCTCTCTCCTTTTACCCCCACTTGTTCTATGAATCCTGTGGTTTCACAGAAGGGTCACTGAGCTCCCCCTTCTGCAGG